GGGGGGGCTGGCCTTTGTACAAGTGATTGTCTTGTACATGTGGTCATTAGGTTTGACTGTATGTTTTGTCTTTAATCAGATAGCCAGTGAGCCAGAAGACAGATCAAGACAACTATTCATAATGACCAAAGTTTCTTCTACATTTGACACCAACTGGATTCAAATTTTGCATAGACAACTGGCTAAACATGACTGACCTTCTTTGCTTTTCTATGTCCAGAGTGCCTTTTTCGTTTAGTTTAAGATTTAATAAGAGTTTTACAGGACTTGCAACACAAATAGGTCATATAGGTGCCAAAGATTAGAGGTGTTACTTGAGAGTAACACACATGTACAGATGAAAGGAGGAGAGATATGGACGACAGATGTTTGGTAGGAAAGAAGTAGTAAACCACATCAGAGCGCCCGCAAAAAACCCACAGAGTGCCTTTAATTTAATGTATGTAGCACACATGTGGGACTCATGGCTGAAAGCAGTGACAGGTTCAAAAACCTGAAATCCGAATTAGTAAAATGTCTACGCCTGAAAATAACACACGTTGAGAAACGTCGTCAGATAAACACACACAATATTATGAAATACACACATTCCTTCAAGATACATACAAGTAGTACATGTACTTTCATCAATGCATTCCTTTGACAACAATCCATCCAATCGGGTTCTGGGTCGGCAAAACAGCAATGTGCTATTCCTGGATGTTAATTTTTTCACAGATGTATTAACTAACACTACAAAGTATCTTATCACAATCCCCACTGAGTTACACTTTTTTTTTAAAGTGTCGTGTCACTGTCACAGTCCACATTAATACTTTTTGAACTACTACTGAAATATGGACATAGAAATCTTTTCGTTATGTACGAATTTTGCAATGGACAAATTCTAGGCTGCACCAAGGAAGATAACCAAGTTGGACAATCAGGTCAAAATTGACATGAATTATGCCTCCTGATGCAAAACTGGGGTGCGTGATGGATTCATGGCAATTTAATTTCTAAATTTTAATGCTGTAGTCCTCAGTCTTAACGGAAATAATTTGGTTTTACATAGAAATAGATATGGCCTAACCCATTTGAAACCAACGAAACACTGCCTGTTCCACTACCCTTTACTTTATGAGTTTATGCCTTTTCGTCCCTGGTACAAAAACATTCTCAATATTTTCCGGTGTTTTTTTTTTCTTTGGTCCGGAAACCCAACGTATTGCAGATAGGGTTTTTTATGTATTGATTTGTCATCCACCTCTGCTAGGAACAGCGGTTTGTCCTCAACCGAGAAGTCTTTGTACGTTTCTTTTGCTCCGCTATGGTTCACTCTCTACTACAACAACTTCACCTAGACCTAACTGTGCAAAACGTCGGCAAGTTGCTGCACAGTGCATAATCTCTATTCAAGAGAAAGCGCTGACACACGTGGCGACAATAGGGCCTTACCGGCTTCGTGCCTTAACAAGCAGACTCTCCACTTGCATGTCTCAACCAAATCTGCCACTCTGTGAAATCTAAAAATAAGGATCTCGGGGGGAAAATCGGGATCATTGACAAATCACCAAGATGACTAGCCAGCTGAATAAAAATGTTTTCAGGGGTGTCCATAAATATATTATATCCATGTATACGCCCTCTGCGAGGGTGCATGTTTTATTATTATTTTTCCCGTAAGCCTCGAAAGACGCTTCAACCAGTGTGCACGAAGTTAAGTTGACCCCGTCAACGAAAGGTCCCTGACGCACACAAAACTCAAACGCCGAAGTCATGTTACGTGATGCAAACGCACGATTGAAAGTTTTACTCACGGGTCTTGATGACAGGCCCGACTAAACAGAACTTGGAGTTGGACAAAGCTTGTTTTGAAAGTAACAGCAGAACTATGAATAATATTGATCATTTGTATGATGCAATTGAAACAGTTATCAGGCCATCATCGGAGAAGTCTGAGATTACGGGTCCGGTAGCCTAACAACTTGACTACACCGCAACACATTTGTTTTTGAGGCGACCGAGTCGGGCGATCGGCCGATCCCAATAGTAGTGGGCACCCCGTATAAAGTGAGCAGGCTAGATCTAGGTCTACCACTAAACATACCTGCGTCATATGAAACAAACACATCCTTGGCCTAGATCTACACCCAGGCTACACTACAGTACTACTGCCCCCGGCTTGGGCTTATTGAGAGGTCATAGAGGCCGTCTCTCTCTCTTTCTCTCTCCACTGGTAAAACGAAATTTGCGGCCATACATTATAGGCCTGCATGACAAATGTAATTAGATCTATCCTCGATATCGCCGATTTTTTCCCTCGCTATGTACGAATTGTAAAGTCTTTGTTTGTGTTTTAATACACAGAATAATATAGGCTCCAAGACAACAAAATTCGGGACGTCAAATTATGTTTGCTACATGATCTATCATTCTATGTGCGTCTTATCAACATTTAGTGAAAGAATGAATTTCCTTTTTTTTAAAAACTAAGTCGCAATCTTTAAAGTTTGACCGCGATGTGCTTGTGCTTGTCCAAACAACCCACAAATATGAGCCAAAAATGTCAAAACCAGCCACAAATTGCAAAGTACGGCTAAACCTGGGCAAATCAAAGAACGGTCTTGCCAGATCAATAACATCGCAGTTGTAGTGTTTACTGCGACATAGATCTAACTGGGTTATTTCTGGGCGTGCAACGCTCATTTTGGCCAGTAGGGCAAGCTGAGACAGACCAGCAATGTAACCAAATGCAAAGAGCCAGAAACTGTGGATGGGGAGAATGACTACTTCCGAATTTTTAATGAAGTCGACAATTTGTTGCAAACTGGAAAAATTGGAAAGCTTATTTTCAAAAGCCGGTTTCACCCATGGTAGGACCATCAAGGTTTTTATCCATACACTAGGATTGTACCCTGACATTGATCCTTAGTTTGTGTAGATTTGAATGACAAGGCTGATCAAAAAAATCGAGTCATATACAGGCCAAGTCTACACAAAATTGGACTGTACCAGGTACTTTGGTTTCGAAGGGAAATACCTTACTTTAAACCTTTGAGTAAATAAGGCCCTTCACTACCCAAAACAATTATAAAATGATATATGTCAAAATAGTTTAGCTTATTAAAGACGTGGATTGCTACAACACTGCCTTTCCGGGCAAACCTAGGTGAAATAAGACACAGCATCCCATCAAACAGACAACAGAGTAGATAAAATAACTTCCTCGTGCAGGAATCAAACTATCATCTTCTGCTTGCAGCTGCAAAGAGCCTAACCATTAAACCACAGGCACTGGTATAGCAAAGAAGTAAGAAAGTAAGAGAGAATACTCTTTACCTTGGATGCCGTGAATGGAGCCGACATAAACTTTTTTAAGGTAGGGCTTCTCTCTCACACGTCTCAAGGATTGCCGGATGTACGAGACCTAGAAGAACAACAGCTGAAAATTATAACTTTGTCCATCAAACAATTATGCTCAGTTTTCCTTTACAAAAAACAATAATCTGCTCTATGAGGATAATAAATAATAAATCAGTAAACTAATTCACTCACACAACTTTGTGGAAAAACACATTTGGAAGAAATTGGGAAGACAAGAAAACCCACTGAGGCATGCACCTCTTTAAAGACATCAGCTAAATACAAAGAGACAAAACTATCTGCATACTGTTACCATAGAGTACTCAGTCAGGGATATTCTACACTGGGAAAGATAAATAGAAAAAAACAAAAGGAAAGAAAGGAACTAGGACCTACTAATGGCACCCTCCAACCACCCAAGACACACAAACAAACAAAATAACAAAACACAACATGTCTTTGAGTAACAAAAAACAAAGTACTGCAAGGTTTAAGGAGGTAAAAGAAGCGAAGAAGAAGGAACTTCAGTCTGTCATGGTAAAAAAACACTGAAAAATAAGCAAAGGAGCCGAAGAACTTTCAATCTATCATGGACAGAGACAGTATCAAAAGTAGGCAAAGGCGACCAAGAAAAAATTTCAGTCCATCACGGTCAGGGACTGTGTGAAAAGTAAGCCAAAAAGACAAAGCAGAAGTTTCAGTCTCTTTTATCACAGCCAGAAACAAAGTGTGAATACAAAGTGGTAGGTCACCTGGTCCTGGTAGGTTGCGATGACAGCCACCTGACTGGCAGCGACTTCCGGCGAGTCCCGGCCCCACTCCTCCGGCCACTGGTCAATTAGCCTCTGAAGCTGTTCAACCACCTCCTGGGCTTCAGCACTGTTCACATACGATGTGCTGGTCTCACTCTGCATCTCTCGCCCCTGAACACGGACAGCAGAAAAACACAAAAAACCCTGTAAGTTCAATAATACTACTCACCAAAAATATGGGACAAACAGGAGCATCTGATAAGAGGCCAAATTTCATGAAGAATACAGGCCACACCACTAAAATATAAATCTTAAAATATTTGACATAAAACTTTTTTTTTGCTAACCTAAGATATCTAGTATTATGGGAAACCAATAAAAGAAAGGGGAGGTGCTATGACTAAAAAGATAAGAGAAAGAAAAATAAACTTCTAGTCCTTTGAGCTGGTCAGAGAGAGAGGAACTCAAGGGCCACGACAAAACTCATCAATGTCAAAGGCTTTCTTAGCTTAGGGCAGTTCACCAATGTCACAGAATTTTGGGCAGCGACTACCAATGTAAACAAATTTCTTAACTTAGGACTGAGATCACCCATGTAACCAGGGTTTTGAGAAGAGTTTTAAAATAATGAAGTCTCCTTTGCACATAAAATAGGAATTATAGGCATTAGTTTATTTCCCATCCTCAAGAAATCTGAGCTTTTCAAAACATTAAGGAACAAAAACATTTCTGTTTCTGAATCAGTCACACAAAGCAAAGATTTTCAGCGGACAAATTAGGAACAAAATCAAAATAATGTGTATCAATTCTCCGCAAGGAGTTTTTCTCTACCTGCACAGCGAAGAACATAAGAGGTGTGATGTGAACCACAGATGGAATCTTTCCGTAGGCTTTGAGGTTTTCGGGCCCTCCATAGAAGACGCTGGAAATGAACCTCAGGATCTCAGGTTTGGTGCGGTAGTTGATGCTTAGGAGGATGTTTAGCGGGGATTGCTGGGACAAAATAAAAACACAGCAGAAATAATTCATACGTTTTAACGTCAAAACATATAAAAAATAATTTACAGACAACAGAAGTTAGATTCATTCTGAAAAACAATATTGCTGCTGAAAAAGTTACACCTCTGTTCCCAAACCATGATAAGCAATCACATTTTCCTACAAATGCATACTAGTTCTATGGAGAACAGACTCTTAACCCTTCCAGCCCTAGCCACTTTTGTGCATTCCCTAACCCCAGCCCCAGCCAATACCGCAGTTATCACGAAAATTAAATTTAGAAAAATGCGAAAATTTGGTACCCCCCGAAACCGAGAATATACGGTCTAGGGACGGTGGGAGGTACAAGCGCTGCTGAAAATGTACGCGCACGGGGCTGGAAGAGTTAAAGCAAAATCGAAGTCTAATGCAATGTGTCTTAAGGGAAGGCGTGGGTCTTCAAAACACGATGTTTGGGTCAGAATATTGATTTTCTACTTTTCACATTTTCGGGTACCTGGATATCTTGGGAACTGATACCCTCTGACCTCCATTAGAAAATATCTTTTAAAAATCGTTTTAGGGTCATTTCCTTTAGGGTACCTTCTTCAAAGTAGGGCCCATTTTTTTCATCAAATGAGCCCCAAATAAGCCTATAATTAGACGGTGACGACAACAACGTGTCTTCGTGTGACCCAAACATGTTTAGTATCGTTGTAACGGCAAGCTTCTCCTCTTCCAAATCGTAAAACAATGTAGAATGATGTGTTTCTGACAGTCTAGTTATGAAGCAGGACACATGACGCCCCATTTTGTAAATCTTAGTTTGTTTTGAACAAAATGAATCCCCGGTACTAAAAATAGTGACCATAACGTAAATATTCAGTCAGAGATTGCCGCGCGGTATGGAATCTTCAACAGTTTTTTTTATGATCATCGCTACTATTTTCTTTCGATCCAAAAGCCCGTTGGACTGTTTTCACCAACGGAACCACCAAGTTTGCTTTTGTGTTTGGAAAAACTTTATCGCGGTTCTCACTGATCTGTATTTTAGTGCAATCTTGGTTTTTTCCGTATGTTCATTCAGTACCCTCCAAGAAGTTGTGTTCAATTTAGTATACATTTCAGTTCGTTTTTTCCCCTGGTTTGCCCGTGCATTTACATTGATGTGTGTGTGGTGGGTTGGTTTTTTTTGGTTTGTTTGGTGGTCGGTTTTTTTGTGGGTTTATTTTTGTAATGCAGGTGTTTTTAGACGTCTATTGACACAATTTAGATCATTTAGGAAGCTGGCTTTCGACACTGCCTGTCACTGTCAGAGCTAACCCGGCCTTAGAGGGATACCACATCCCTGCAGAAAGACCCAGCTACTCAAAAGAAAGTCTCAATGCCCAGGAACCCAACTCAAGTCTCCCGAGTGTGACAGTGAAGCGCCTAATCGCTACACCACAAATATTGATTTTGTTGTTGTTGTTGTTGTTGTTTTTGTTAGGGGCGCATGGGATAAAAAAAGTGAGAAAACGAACATGTATGAGAGAGAGAGAGAGAGAGA